AGCGATGCTCTTTGCTCCTAGTAGCGTCTTTACTCCTAGTAGTAAGGCCAGGAGCCCCTAGTAGCGTTCTTGTTCCTAGTAGCGATGCCCTTTGCTTCTAGTAGCTTCTTGCTCCTAAAAGAATCTGTTCTGCTTTAATCAATTAGTTCCCATGCTTCTGCGTTTGCTTTGGTGCCGGGGCGTGGGCGCCCCGCTCTTGGATGAGTTTCTCTCGGAAGGGCAATTGCAATCGCGCGAAAAGGTCCCAGTAGATTCCTTTGCTTTCAATTCCAATTAAACTTAATTCTATAGTAGCTTCTTGTTACTAGTAGTAAGGCCCTTGCTCCTAGTAGGGATGCGCTTTGCTCCTAGTAGCTACGACTTGTTTGAGTCAACATGTGCCGCACTTTGAGTCTGTCGTAAGAGGCTTAATTTTTCTCCCAATGCCTTGCACCGGTGCATTCAGCACCTGATTTTCTCGTTTATAAATGCACTTGTTGGAGTTGTGTTGTTGAAAAGGTAAGAAACCGCGCCGGCAATACAGAACTGGGCCAGCAATGGCATTGTAGACAAGCAATTTCAACCTTTTACGGCGCTGGACAATGGGAACAAGAAGCTACTACTAGCAAGGTGCCTTACTACTGGTAGCAAGAAGCTACGTGGGTTTTCAACAAAAACCGTCCAAGTTCTAAAGGTTGATGTCGCTGCCGAGTTCTTCGTTTTGATTTCCTTTTCTTGGTCTGACTGTTTAACTGGCCCATAAGGAATTGCTATATATAAAGGTTACCCTGGGGTGTGCAAGATTTGAAAGGCTCTTTTGGCCGCTTGGTTCACAAGAGAGCGTGTTGGGTTCGTGGATGGAATGGTTTGTTCCTCTAAATTCTACCCTTGGTTGGTTCACAAATGGACGTGTAGGGCTGGTGACCCCCATGTGGCCCCGCAATTGGCGGTGTAAATTTTAGGCCACAACAGGATCTGCCAGGTCTGTCCCGTGAAGAGGCTCCAAAGACACTTTTGAAAGAACATGATGATGACGATGATGATGATGATGATGATGATGATGATGATGATGATGTGAGACTGTAAGTGTCTGCATCATGCCAGTCTCAATGGCATGTATGCACAGCAGGGCTAATGAGCCCAGCGCTAAAACCAACGCTGCTTAAGGCCCGACACGGCCACAAACTGGGTAGCCTCCCTACTAGAGGCGATGGCCTCCCTAAGAGCGACAAAGCTTGTCATGGACAGCTCTCAGAAAGTTGGAATGGCGCGTTTTTAATCCCACGAAAGGGTCAAGGTGGCAGGTGGAGCCGCTCTTCGAATAGGGCGTGGGCCTCGTTACATCCGTCGAATGGGATCGTTCGTTGCTCTTCGGATTCTGGGAGCGATCGCTACGAAACAAAGGGCATTGCGAACCGAACGGAGCGATCGGACGCTACTACTCGGGGCTCCTGGCCTTACTAGTAGCAAGAATGCTACTAGGAACAAGTGCATCGCTTCTAGTAACAAGTGCCTTACTACTAGTAACAAGAAGCTAGTAGAAACAAGAATGCTACTAGTAGCAAAGGGCATTCATCAGCATCCCAGAACAAGTAAGCAGGCCACCAAGGTAGGAGCGGACCAACGGACCAGCAAACCATACGTACAGTTTACTATCAATTTAAAATATGACCATGTTCACTTTTTGATGCTTAATGTTCACTTTTTGGGATGCCTATGGCCTATCCGTCCAAACTTTTTGATTTAAAAAGAATCACAACTCCTATGTCTTTATTGATTAACTTGTCTTTACTCTTTGTCTCTACTCCTTGTCTATACTGTCATTGCTCTTTTACTCTCCAGGTTTCCATGACTCTTAGGAACAAAAAGCTACTAGGGACTCTTGGCATCGCTACTAGGAACAAGGACGCTACTAGGGGCTTATTGTGTTACTACTAGTAAGGCACTTGTTCCTAGTAGCGATGCACTTGTTCCTAGCAGCAAGTGCCCACTGTTTTCGTCTTTCCGCCTGGAACAGGCCGATGTCGCCGACGCCGACGTCGACCGCGGCGGGGAACGTGGCGATGGGCCCTTCAATTCGAGCACCTGGCGAGTGAAGCAATTGCTCGTAGTACGGCCAGGAGCCTCTAGTAGCGTCCTTGCTTCTAGTAGTAAGGCCAAGAGCCCCTAGGTAGCGTCCTTGCTAATTAATTGGACATGTCTAACAGACTTTTAGATAGAATTAGACACTATGGTCTTCGTCATTTGTCCCTTCCTTCTTTAAGCGCGCCTGTGTTGCGGAAACGCCAAGAGCGACGGCCCTTCACAGAGTTGGCTCCTTCACCTGTCGTTTCTTCGAACCTAACGAAGTCCTTTCGTCCTCCGGAGCCCAGATGCACCCGCCGCCCGTGGCCCTGCCTAGCATCCTTGCTAATAGGCGCCCACTTAAGACACAGAAGTTCGCTCCCGGCTACTTCAGTTTCATAGCGAAGACGCTTCAAGGAACCGACCGCCCTAAAGGCGGGAGATTCCTTGAAGAAGCGCTCGCACTGATTTGGTTCCTAGATTTTTGAAGGAAAACTTAATATTTGTCGACTCACACCACAACGGCCTTCCCAACCCGCCTGGCTCATGTGGAGTGATCGTCACGTGCCGAGCACTTGACAAGGTGATGTTCTCAAGAGAAAGCAGTGGCATCTCAAGCCTCGATTGAGAAAAAAACGCGTCGTGTTCCAAAGCTCAAGCCTCATTAGTAGGTTGGAGGCCATGTCTCTTAGGTTGGAGGCCATCGCTACGAGGTTGGAGGCCATTGCTACTAGGCATCTCAAGCCTCAAAGGAGACAAAAAACACGTCGTGTGTTCCAACCACATCTGTGTCATCGGCACTGAGCTTTGGGCACTGAACCATCCAAGCCGATACCACGTACCCGCCGTGCCGTACCTGCTTGCACCTGCTCGGTGGTATCGGCTGGCTGAAATTCGAACTGAAGCCGTTGCCATCGGAAAACAAATCGAACATCGAACCACTTTCCTTCGAACATCGAGCTTCTAGCAAGGACGCTACTAGGGGCTCCTGGCCGTACTACTAGGAGCAAGGACGCTACTAGGGGCTCCTGGCCGTACTACTAGGGGCTCTTGGCCGTACTATTAGGAGCAAGGACGCTACTAGGGGCTCCTGGCATCGCTACTAGGAGCAAGGACTCTCTTCTTTTGCCTTAGTGACTTGAGTGCTTGCACTTCCCTGGCCCTACTAGTAAGGCACTTGTTACTACTAGCGATGCACCTGTTACTAGTAGCTTCTTGTTACTACTAGTAAGGCACTCTTCCCTGGCCCTTCTCTCATTTCTGTACTTTTTGTGTGTGTTCTCAAGCATGAATTTCTTAGCATTCACCGCAAGTCTTGACACAATATTCAATTAGAGCAGCTCCTTGCTTAGTCAGCCATGATGGTGCTTTCCTTAAAAGTTCCTTCTCCTGACTCCTGGCATCCTTGTTTCTATCCTCCTTCGCCATTCTCCACTTATCTCACCTTGCTCACCTCTCTTGGTATCTTACCCTTCTTACTCCGATTTGCTAACGACTGGATTTGCATTTTGTGCTTGAAAACTCGGCACTAGCGACAATGCAGTTTGAAAGGACCTTGGAGGGAGCCTTTGGTCAGAAAGGAATTCTTGGAATGAAATGGTTCAGTTAACTACTAGTAACAAGTGCCACGCTAGTAGTAACAGGTGCCTTACTAGTAGTAACAAGATGCTCAAAGTGACATTGCACACTGAAGTGAAACGCATTCGATCTAATCTTGTTCCGACAGTGTTTTGCTTGATCACTCTTGCTTTGTACTCATCCGATTCTGGGTTTTCTTGCCTAACAAACATTCTTCGTTTGTTCTAACTTTTCTTTTTCACATTATTACGATGTTAGTTTTTCCATTTTTCCGTGTTCTCGAGCCAAGAGGTCATCCGTGTTTCCGACGTGCCGGAGACGCCGACGTGCCGCCGGAGTGGCGCACCCTCAAGCCCAGAACGTAGGCTGCTTGGCGGTTCAGAACCTGAGGCTTCGAGTTGAAGAGAAAGAACGTGAAGAAGAGTGGCAGCTGAAGAATAAATACTTTTCGAGTGACCCCCGCCACGACAATCATAATTTGTCGTGCCGTGAGGAGCATGTGGCCATGGTCGCGAGTTTTGTGGTTTGCGATTTTGCTGGGCTTTGGGCCCACTATTGGGCTTGCTGGTGTTAGGGAGTTCGCGTTGGGGTGTTGCCCTCGTGTGCCCACTGCGATCTGGCTGTAACTTGGGCGAGGAGGCGGAGGAGGAGGAGAAGAGCTCTATAGTCTAACAACCCTCACCTGGCAGGTGGGGAAAAAGGAGAAAAACGATGAAAAGAGCGAGAACATGCTGACAATTTGGCATCATGTGTGGAGATAGTAGAAGCAAAGCAAAGACTTGTGAATATTGCACCAAACAGTGTAGCTAAATTCAAACTCTTCGATTAGGAAAACTGGACTTTGGAAGATTCTTCGGACAAAAACGAAAAAAGAGGACGCTACTAGGAACAAAGGGCCTTACTACTAGGAGCAAGGACTCTACTAGGGGCTCCTGGCCTTACTACTAGTAGCAAGAAGCTTGATTCGTGACTTGACCGAGCTTCTCACCGTGTGCGAGGCTCCAGTGTCGACGAGGCCAATGACCGGTTCCAAACAGCCCGGAACTGTCAGCAGCAAACCCTGGGCGCTTCGATGTTCGACCGTGGATGGCTCTAGCAAGGACGCTACGAACGGGGCTTAGCTCATGCTTTAGAGAAGAACTTCAAGTTGAGCTTTCATGTAGCTGGAAAACATTCTGGTGTAGTGAATATGCAAGCGTTCTGACCGCGCCTGCAAGCGCCCGGGCATGCCCAAAGCTTCCAATTGCCTCAAGGGATAGAAACGAAGAGAGAAAAACAAGAGCAAAATACAAAATCTGAGCAAGAAACGAAACACGCTTACACATTTTTTCACCGCTTTACTTGTCCCAATTCGTCGTTTTTCGATGTCTTGAATTCTCTTCGCCTCCAATCACCTGGCTGCTCCGAGGGTAGTGAGGCCCTCGGCCATGCCCGAAGCTGTTGTCCTTTGGCATCCTGAAGGCAAAGGCGCCGCTCACGGCGCAGAACGTCAACAGGAAACTTCAGAATTATGGATAGGAGCAAACATGCTCCTAGTAGCGTCCTCTTGTTCCTAGTAGTAAGGCCAGGAGCGCCTAGTAGCGTCATTGCTCCTAGTAGCGATGCCCTTTGCTCCTAGTAGCTTCTTGCTACAAATTGCTGATCTCTCTTCCCCCTCTAATCAGCTCATTTCTGCCGTCCAGCTCCAGGTCGTACTGGTCCATAAAACCTCAGGAGACAGCATCGGACAGTATCATTGCGTGTCATCGCTAGTAGGTTGCTTTTACCGTCTTCAGCTTCGCCCAAAGAAATGACACGAAGCTAACTGCTCCAAAACCGGCCTTGCCCAAGCATTCCTTGCAGGTCTACACCCACTTCATCTGCAATCTTCCTGACAACGGTCTGCAATCTTCTCTTTTCATCTTTCTGTCTTTCGTCCTTCCTTCGTCTCACTTCGTCTGTCTCTGAGTTTTCGGCAACTGTGGGAAGTCATCCACGACCACACCTGGAGCGTCTTTTTGAGATCCTTTGGTCGCATTCCACAGATGCCTCTGCAAAGAAAACACCTGTTTCCAATCTGGCAGAGTCACCAGCCAGTGGAGACAAGGGGCAGTTGGCCAAGGCGGAGTCCTTCGAAAACGAATGAATTCTTCACTATGAATATGATGATACTAGCGTCCTTGCTCCAGCTAGTAGTATGATGATAGCACATGAGGAAAGACAGATTTTGTCTTCTCAAAAGAAGTCACTCAGTGTCACTGTCACTCAGTGAAGTCATCCTGGCCCGAAAGGGCAGCGCCTTCCACACGAACCTGCAAAGATGACAAGTCAACATCGTCACGAAGTCGTTTTTACAGAGAAACACCTTTCTCCACCCAAGTAGCGATGGCCTCCACCCTAGAAGCCATGGCCTTCAACTTAGTAGCGATGGCCTCCACCCTAGAAGCCATGGCCTTCAACTTAGTAGCGATGGCCTCCACCCT